CGGCATTCTCAACATACTGATGACCTTCCCTACGAGGGGAATAATTCACTTTCCTAGGTATTTGAGAACGTATCGGTGACAAACTGAGAACACTTTACAAACTGATATCCGATGTCACGGGAGAAAGTACAGGGAGGAGAGCAAGGAAGTCACTGACAGCTTGTCTGCAGTCCCCTGACTCTTGCATGTCAGCTTACCTTCGTTCAGTGACGCTGTGGGAACGATCACCCGTCTTAACGTAAGCACGTGTATTAAGTATCTCTGGGACTAGGACCCTCCAAAAATCAACTTATATCGGTGATAGCACAGAGAACAAAGGACAATCAAAACTACTTATGCAAAATCATCCTCCAGATTTTTACTACGAAGCGTACGATAACTCAGTGTGTGTGAAGACTGAAACTTGCCAGATGTACTGAGCTATTTATAACACACAACCACTTACATAATTACAGCTTGACAACTTACCACACAAGCCTGAATATTTGAGCACTTCATTCAGACAATCACCTACAGTAATAGAATATCTTTAAACAGTGGAAAACTGGTAGATAGGTTGAACTAAGCACTACATTTACTAGTTACGCATTAGCAAATTCAGATGTTGAGACTAGTCTGCATTGATAAAAGCTTACACGTTTACATGTACATTGGACAATCAGACATGTTCCAATAACTATGAGATTAAACTCTCTGAAATTATGATTATGGTACAAGATTCCCATTTGGAAGAAGAATCAGGATAGCTCAAACGTGGCCTTAACTTCAGACTGCCAGAAATACTCCTTTTCTCTTTAGTTGGAGTATTTGTAGGTACCACCTTGAATTCAGCTACCCTGAAAGGTGTGTGTCCTCCTGGTAACACATTCTGATTTGAAATATGCTGTGAATTCCTCAGCAGATTGCAGCTCTGTCTTCCAACACTTACTGTGTTTGCAGCCTGGAAAAAAATCTTGATTTTCATTTGATCCAGATAACACATATAATTGATAAACAGCAATTGTTCCTGCAGTCATCACCAAAATTGACACCAGCAACTGCTTTTGCTTCTAAGGTTTCTATCTATAGTCATTCTGGGCTTCCCTCTTGATAAAATTTAAATTTAGCATATTAATTTCTTAGCAGTGTTTATTTCCTGGAGAATTGCACTGTGTTAATATGTAACAGGCCAGACCCTTATGGCGTATGCTAGCTCAGCTCTATGAGGCTAATGGAGCTAGTGGAGTTCACGTGTATTTAGAGTCTGAGTCACTGTTTTTTGAATTTTCACATTTAATGGTAAATTCTTCATTTGGAAATGCAACACTTATTACCTCTTCACATCTTTTACATGCAACATGGTTGAAAAGGTATCTCACAGGACAGTTCCCTCCAGCCCACTGCCTCTTCCCCAGAGGGCACAGGGAAAAGCTGTTAGCAAACACATCGCCCCAGCCCCAGCCAGCAAGCAGCAACTTCCCACACCTGCAAACGTCCCAACACTGAGCCAGGCAGCTGCTGTGGCACAGCAAGAGGAAGGGCACGGAAGGACAAGTACCCTCTTACTTGGCCAACATGGAAGCTGGATCCCAGTTTTCCTGGCCTCTAGTCTGCTGCTGTTGAACTACGTTACGTTACTGGAAGCAAAATGTAAGACACCAACTTGTTCATGCAAGAGAGGCAATAAGGCTAGCAGCTGTAAGATGAAGAATCTACTCAAAACTCTACGTTCAGATATGTTTACAAACTCTAGTATTTCTCAGATATCTAAGTTTGAGCAGCTATGGCCTCCCTAGGGGCTTTCAGACTTTCCCACAGGTAGGAAACACATCAAAGACTGACGACTACAGAGATATCAATCCATTCTTCTCTGAGGGGTATCAGTAGCCCTTAAAAATAGTTCCATTCAGGGATCTTCACATTCAAAATGAGGCTTTTTTTTTTTTTAATATAAATATTCACAAGTCAAAAATAAATTAAGCTGCTAAACAAGATGGGAACTTCCTTTTGTCTAACTGGAATCAAATGCAATATTACCCAGGCTTTTAGAGGGAAACGGGCAGCAATATTAACTTTCAAATAAAAGCTGTTTTTAGACAAGTCAGCTGCTTCAAATCTCATTTACCAAAGTAGCAACAGTTATAACATTAGGAGAAACAAATAAATACAAATGTCCAGAAAGAGCTGTGATTAAACGTGTAGGCACCAATCAAAATACCAGAAAACATTTTATTTACACAATGTTTAAAACATCCTTCCCAATTTATCAAAGTCAGAAAATCCTTCCTGATAATGGGGCAGGAGAGAAGTGATTAAGACATTGCACAAAGTACTTTCACCCCTTCCCAGACAGGACACATCAAACAGAGCCACACTGCTGATAAAGATGAAATGTTTGTGTCTGCCTTTTGCCCAAGTTCCATATGTAATCACCACATCCACTTCGCCACCGAAAAGAGTCTCCAGTTGCTGAAACCAGATATTACGCATTATAAGCAATAACAACAGGCAGGCTGAAGGAATGATGTATAATTTAATAAGAGTTTAATCCAAGAGATGTAGTATAATTGCAAAGTTCAATCCAAGAGATTGCAAACTAAGACTGCAGTAAAAACCCAAAACTGCAGATCCACGTAGCTACCTGAAGAGGAGAAGTGATTTGGATACAAAATGATTCAAATACTTGGGGGGGAAAAGCAACTCTTGATTTCTTCTTTTGTGTGGAGTAGAAAGACTGAAAGATTAAAAAGCATAAAGCGTTGTATTCCTAAAACAAACAAACAAACAAACAACCCAGTAATTTCTAAATCAACTCACGAGAGTTATAAGGTTTGTCATTTGTGCTATTTAACTCCATGTTGTTCTTTACGTCTCCAGTTAACTATAGAAGAGCAAGTTCAGGTTGTTACGTGACTGTGAAACTTTACATAGGTTTCCTTCCATGCAGAGGCTTTGGTCTCGCCCACAAACCTCTGCACGCTGGCGCTCACTCAGAACTCGCTGGCTCCACCTCATCAAGCGTTCCAACGCTGTACTAAGCCCCCCCGACACTCTGTGCCGCTGGAAACCTGGTTGACAATTTCACAGTGGGATAAGGGTTAATGTTTGCAAAACACTGAGGATGCAGACCATAAATAACGCACTTATTTGTGTATGAATGGTAGCTTCCAATCTGTGCTTGAGAACTGCTATGAAGCCGACACCTTCAAGAAGGCCCACGCACAGACCATGCGCTGGGGTGGCTTTAGAAAAATACAAACGTCAGAATTAACACGTACCTTGCAAAGATTAACTCACCTCCTATTACTCCCCTTACGTTAGTCCCTGCCATGAACTACTTCAGGTCACCGTACACGACCGATGCATCTTTTTCCTTTCCACAGGAATCAGCAGTGTCGACCCGCACTGACACTGCACAGGAATTTGTCGGGGCCTAAATTTGGATTACTCACTTTTCCAAATCTTTTCACTAACTTATAGTTTATGGTAGCTGAACACCTGACATTTCAAAATAAGAATAATTTTCTGTTTGCCATCCCAGGAAGACAAAACTGGCTGGGTCTTTTTGTCTCTTCAAAAACAGTTCATTTATCTTCTCGCTTCCAACTGAGAATCTGCATTTTACGTACTGATTTGAAAGCAGTGATACGCATGTTTATTCCAGGTGCTTTCAGACACAAGCCCCTGCAGGGCAATGAGCCCTGGGCACATTCAGCGAAGCTCACAGGAAACCCATCTTCTGATGTGGGAAAACATACATGCGAAGAGCAAACAACTGTGCTCAAGTTGAAATCATTTAGAACATTCTGGATTTAAACCCAGAGATAAGGGACTCCTCCAGCAGCTCTGCAACTCACTCTTTTAGGGCTTGACAGGCATATAACGAATGCATGGCCAACTAAGCAGCAGAGTAATCAAAAACATTTCTGAGTACCCCATCAATCTTGTCATTCACAAGGTCTCTAGGGGAAAACTACTTCTAGAACGAACAAACGTGTCCTGGAGCCTGGGCACCCAATGGATCAACTTGCCGTGAGAAAGGGAACGCTGCGCCTCAGACAGGGTGCACAGCACCCCGCCGCGCTAGCAGGGGAGCGTTCCTGCCTCTGTACCGTCTGCAGCGACTGCAAGGGCGAGGCTGCGAAACCAGCAGCACAATCCTCCTCCAGCGTGAGCCCAGGCTACCCCTGGTTTGCTCTTTATGTCCCAATTTCTCCTTCCCCTCAGGGTACACACACTTAAAAACACAATTTTAAAAAGATCTTATTATCAAGCAGTGTTACGCAAGCTTTGTCTCCATAGCCGTATCACCTCGAGCTGCGATCTCGCATCAAGATCCTACAACAAGCTAACCGAGATTAAGCCTATCAACACTTGGACAAGGGCCCTTTCCAGAAGGCCCAGATGCTGCTGGAACTGAGGCGAGAACGGGATAGGTGGCAGTAAGCCTATGACTCGATACTAAATCGCGTGGCACTAAAGTGAGAAACAAGCAAAAGCACCGAGTGCATCATGCCATGAAGATTCCAAGTTCACCTTCCAGAGCTGTTACACCTACTGCCGTGACGCACAGAAAAACAGCTTCCTTCTGCCACATTTTATATAGCTGCCCATACTTAGTCACTGCCTAAAATAACAGGCATTTTACGTATGTAATTTCCAACCAGAAAATATCCCTACTTAAAACACACATACGAAAATGGCTAGAACAGCTTTCAGATGCCTGATAATATTTTGTTTAAACAAAAAACATGTTTTCTGTTTATTATAAATGTTCCCAAGGATTAAATAAAAATTTGGATGCAACCAAGGCAGGTTAAACATTTTGTTTTCTATTAAAACATCTAAATGAGAAGATTAAGCACTGTTTTACATTTAACAGAAAGGCAAAGTCAAATCAGCACCAGAGCAGCTTAACTAGTACTTAATGCCAGGGAGTTCTGATGTTGAGAGGTAATCGATTTAAGGAGGGAGGGAGGGATTTCTTTTAAACTGCTCAAGAAGAGAAAAATACTCAGAAATTTGAACAAATCTTTCAACTATAGTATCGCCCAAAGAACTCCTTCCAAAGCCTTTTTGCTGACAAGTCTAATAGGCTTAGAAGACAGCTCTTGCCCCAGATTTCCTGGTAAAATATTTTCATTTAGTGTTATTATTCTATTTAGCATGTTGCATGCTCGATTTTGTTTATTTTTCATTTAAGGTGCCAGGAGGAATTTTTGTGTGTGAGGTTAGATATCCAATAGAAGATGTAAAGTCTTATTGATTATGCTTAATGGTAATTACTTGAAATAATACTGGTTAAAAGGTCACAGCAGTGATGCAACTGAGATAAGTTCATCTGCAGAAGAATTTATGCTTATTTTCTAATATCCAAATACATACTGCTTGGTAACCAAAATACTGACACTGAAACTGGTTACTGCTGAGTCAAAATTCATCTGTGAAGCAAAAAGCCTCTACCTGTACAGAAATAGCATGTAAATTTGTTTATCTGTAATAACCTGTAGCCAATTTAATATGCATAAACAAAAGAGAAATGCTTGCTTTCATCATCCATTCAATGAGGCAAAGCTCAAACACCACCGTTGAGGACTATCCTTCCACATTATTTATTAGGTAAGCTTCGTGGTGATCTGTCCCATCAAAAGATTCAAATCACACAATTTAAGATGACTGGAAAAAAAACCCCACTAAAACATAAGGCATCCTAGCTGCTGAACACAGTCTTTCATCCAAAATTTGACATCTCAAAATCTTGTAAAGGAAAAGCATGTGTACTCATACTAACAAGGCCATTAGTGAACTCTCTCAGGGACTTGCACAGAATGCACAAGGATTTCAGTTGCCAAGTTTAACAGTGATGTATTCTTATTTAATGACTAGTAGATTTAAAAAAACCTAGAATAATAATGAAGCTCGATCAGTTTATCTCACTGCGATTAAAAGAACGAACCAGAACACCCATCTTCTGCAAAGCAAAATTAGTTTCAATCTTCCCATTCATTTTGTTTTCCCAAAGATAAGCATTTTAGTTATAATTCTGTTTACTTTTTTTTTTCTTTTTTTTTAAAAACATGGCAAGTATCAGAAAGCAGCAAGGTGGTGGGGGGGAATGGAAAGGAGAGGTGAACGAGAACTGCCCATAGTTCCCCCTGGACTTCTACTTTGTGTTTTTTAAGACGATCTTACTTAACTTCTGCAGCGTTCTGTCAGAAGCACGAAGCACAGGGGAAACAAACTAACTGGCTTTGTTGAAGAAAAGTATTTTAGAACTAAGACATACTACACAAAAGAAAACCTATTTTATTTAAATCATTTTGAAGACAAATTTTTACAGCTAAGAATTAGAGAGAGCTTTCTCCATTATTTTTAATCAGTCTTTCTGCTGAATCTAAATAGAAAGGTTAATTTACAGGAAGTATTTTAGGAAAGAGGTTAGAGGCCTGGATGAATGGCTTTTACAGTTTATAACGGTCTAAATGTTCCGTAAACATATGGGAAAGCAGACGAGCAGATAGAGGGTTTGTTGGTGCCAAACTATGAGACCTTCTCATAGTGAAGGCCAACACAGTGAAACTCGTAACGAGCGATCCCAATAATCACTGTATGCGTGAGGAGTGGTAAAAGCCATTGGACAGTTTGCCAGTTACATTCAGTTGATCCTGAGCAGTCCCAGAACATCAGCTTTCCTGAGGTCTTCCTTCAGGCTCCTTATACCGTCATGCAGGCACCAATCTACGTTCACTGGTTCCGTGCTACACCTACAAGAGCATTAATGATCCTGAACACGAGCACCGACATTGAATTTCCCTCCGGATTGTTCCCCAAAGGCAATTAATGCATTGTGCTTACTGGAACAATATAGCTTTTGCTTTCCTATAATCATCATTTCCTCAAAGGCACAGATCTTCCCTGTAAAATCTTCACATTAAATGCCTTTATAGCACCCTCCTGTGGGGATTCTGTGTCCATACACAGAATGGGGTAGCTGGAAACTAGGCAGGCAAAGGAAATCCTCCGGCCTCAACAGGCAGCTGACGGGGAGCCGTTTCCTTTGCTCACTGCCTAGAACAAGCAGCCGGCCTTCCTGCCCTTTTCAACAGCAAACACGTCCTAAGAGGTCACGATTGTAACACAAGGTGAAACGCAGCTCAGCTACTAAACCAAGAGACTCAAACAGAAAAATGACAACTCGGACGGTTCTGATGCGTGGTTAAAATATAAAGCTTTATCAGTCAGGGTCAGTGATGTTCCTCGTTATTTTTAAGGCTCTCAAGAAAGAACAGGAAGAGATTTTATTCTCGAAATCATCCATATTTGGACTGATATCTGTGTTTGTGTATAAAAGAACAGATATTTAATTACAAAGCTAAATAAGCACAGTTAACTTGGGGAAAAAAAAGTCAAATCAACTTTCCTGTAGCAACTGCTGACATATGAAAACACCACTTTTACTTCTATTTAACTGAGGTTAGCATCAACACATATGATTTTGATGATAACATTAAAAAGATTTGCCCTGAAAAGTAAAGATATCTCAATTTAACAATAATAGTTATTTTGGAAATCCTTGTTATCCTTTATTGCTTTTGTTTTCACGACAACGTCTCTAATTTTCATTTTAATTCAGATATTTGAAGACATTTTTATCATAAGTTACACTGATTTTATGAAACACTTCCTCACTCCAATGAAAATCAGATGGTTCATTCCAATTGTTAAGAGTAGGAAGACTTTAGAGGGCTTATAATATTACGTTATTAAATATTCAAGCTTTTAAAATTTTTCATAAGTTATTTGCATTCTACTGTTTTACAGCATTACAAGAGGTATTAAAATACAGAAATCCAGTAGATACTATATGCTTTTCCACTTTCTTTTTAAGATTATTTTAAAACTAGAGTTGAATAAATCTCAAACTTAAATTATTGATTATCCTTCAGATCAGGCAATAATTTATCTGTGCCTTGACATACAAGATTTCCAGAATGCACACAAACCAGTTGATTTGTGCAATGAATAATAAGAACACTTATATGGCATTATTCACTTTCAAAACATTACACACTGAATTAGTTAACCTTTATAGATGATGCTTCTATAGGAATCAAACATGTTGAGAGAAATTACTCTTCCCAAATTACCGTAAGTTTTTTTTTTTCTTTTTAATCTAACATATTAATATTGGCTGAAGCCACACCAAGGAGAAAAACAGATTCACTAACAAAGAACTGCCTGATATTTAAAAGACACTTTAAGGCAAGGTAAGATGGTAAGGACCCTGTCTGTGGGAGGGATGATATTCCCTCATTTTCTTTTACTTTCCTGCAACAAGGTAAATTCTTGTCTTTTCATAAACTTGCTACTTTGTAATGACTGTTTCCACTTATTTGGAATCACACACTGCTGTCTGCTACTAAAGCACATGCACATCCTTCGTCATGAAAAAAACAGATCGTTTATGAGATTAAGAGCAAAATTAGAAAAATACTCATTGGGAAAAAAAGGCTAAAGATTAACTGGAAGAAAGGGACCCCAGTTTCACTAATCTTACCAGAAACAGCAATACCAATCTGTGCCAAGGAATTATAGTAAGCAGATATATATCATTACCCCCAGTTGGGGGGGGGGGGGGGAGCCCCCTTTTTTTTTTTTTTTTAAAAACGTGTCATCACGTTCGATTAAGAGCTCAACCGGAAGCCTTACTGTTGCTAACGTTATCTCCTCCAACTCTCCTGGATTTTTGCCTGAGGGGATAAGGCTGTATCTTCCATTTTATTTCCCCTCGCCCCCCCCCCATCAACCCACAACCAACCATACCTTACATCTGATCACGACCAAAAAAAAAAAAAAGGGGGGGGGAGCAATTAAATAGTATTTGTGAATTGCTGAGAAGAACTGTTTTTGAGGAAAACATACCCATGCATACCGGTGAAGTGGTACTTAAGCCAAACCAGCCTCGTGGAGCTAAACGGCATGCTACTTGCCTGCTCGCTGTCATTTCAGATACTGTCAAAGGATACACAGGGCCTGGGAGGTGAGGGAGGGATCCAAGAGCATCAACTTGTTTATACCACACCAGCCTATGTTGTTCTAGCATGCCATACCACCTATGCAACTTTACAGGTATGCCAAGTTGCAAAGTGACACGAGCTGTAGGAGGCAGGTGCATTGCAGGCAGGCATGTGGCATGCTGCATGAAAACAACTCCAGCAGTACTTCGTAATTTTGCTTTGTTTGCAATGCACTTGCTGTTTTAGGATCTGATACAAAGAATACATCCCCTTGATACCACTGCAATTTGTCAATGTATATGTAAATACACTAGTAAGAATATTTCGTGATTTTTGTTTATCATTTAACAAGTTTTAAATCTAAAAGCCTTGGGGGGAGGGGGGAGGAGTCATTCATTTCCCTTAGTTATCGCCAAACAAAATACCTCAATTAAGTGCATTAGATATATTTTGCATCTGCAACAACTGAGAAATATTCTGAGGATGTGATATACTCAAGATTAATTTCAACACAGAATCAGTCAAAAATAAGTTGTCAGATATGAGGCTCTAGGTATGGGTTTTGTGTAGATACAAGTACACATGACAAGTAAAATTGAAGTGTGAAACTGCAATTAAAAGTTGCCTTTCCTTTGCTGCAAAGCCTTTCTGTATCACATGTCAGTGGACAATACCTAAATCTTTCTCCTGAAGGTTTAAAATGTGCTACAATCATAAAACTCCACTAAGGTGTTCTAGGATTTTTAACCAATTTTCCATGTGTGCCATTCTTATGCTTCCCACTAGAAAAATGCAACTAAAAGGGGGAGATTGAAGAAACTTGCCTGATTAGCAGCTTTTCTTAAGAGAAACTTATTGTTCTTTTTTCACATTAATAAATAATCACACAAGAAACAAACTAAACAGAACAGTGCCGCAGTGGCATAGAAGGCAACAAACTCTCCTAGGCAAACACTGGCTGCTGCTCACAAGCTCACTTCAGCAGACAGAACGGGCAATCTTTCAGAGCAGGACAACCCTGCGCCAACAGACGTTTCCTTTCCTCACGGAGGAAACCACCAGCAAGCAGCCAAAGCAAGCAGCCAGCACGAGCGGCTAATCAGGTCCCCCCTAGTATGTGGGGAGACACTGCTGAGAGCTGTGACAGAGCTGTTCCAGGACAAAGAAAGCTTCAAGTTGAGGGAAAGTGGGCATGCGGAGGTGAAGACTGAAATCCATTCCGGAGAACCCAGAAGCGCAGAACGTAACGGACATGGCAGGCAGAAAAGAGCAGGCAGGAACCACAGTAAGACACAAGAAGCCAAAAATACCTTTGCTGTTGCTACTGTGCCACAGAATTTGCGCTCAGGGGAAGGCTTGCATAGGGTAGGAGCCTCTCATCTTGAACTGATGCAAGACATTACTCATTATTACTACTGTCAGAAACTACAGCATAATCCACGGCAGGAGCAGCAATATTTTCTGGATGAGAACACTCCATGTTTACCTGAAAGAATATCAATTCCTCTTCCACTATTCAACTACAAGGAAAATGTGTCCTAAATAAATGGAGGAGAGAAAGGCAAATAAAATATTAGATAACTGAAAACTTGCAAGGTTTACCTAACAGCTGCAGTCTTTTACATGGAAAAGGAAAAGAGACCAACAGCTTTAAAGGCACTTTTCTTTCCGTCAAGCTCAAAACTTCCAAAGGAACGGAGGCCACGGGGTGGCATACAGATTGGCCCCATCCAATCGGTATCCCAATCTTTCTTCTATGGACCTTCAAGAGGAAAAGTGGATGCCAGGAACATAAGCGTGTGTTACAAATTACATATGGAACCAACTACTGAATTAGTAATTTCTTAGCATCTCACCAGCCTACTCCCCTGCTAATGAATGACGATAAAGGAAGACAGGAAGTTAATGGATTGTCTTGAGTGAAAAAGAAGTAGCACTTCTCATTAGGAATTTATACGCAGGCACTGTAGCACCTTCCCCCTTCCAGGTCCCATTTAAGGGATAGAAAAACGTGAATTGCAGTATTTGTTTCATATGTTCATCACAACAGGAACATCGCCCAGACCTAGACTGGGTCCAAATAATAATCATTGCAATTAGCACTTCATTTATATAATTACCAGTAGACCCCCAAAACATTTTTACAAAGGAGGTAATTACCCATATTTTACAGTTGAGGAAACAGATACAGTGCAGGTGAATGACTAAAAGAAATCATCAGCAAGTCTGAAAGGGATGGCAATTATCTTTATTCCCAGTCAAGGTACTCTTCCCAATAATCCATGCTGAATTCACTTCAGTCTTGTGGGAAAGAATCCAGAGAAAACAAAAACAAAATGGAATTTCCAATGTCTAGAAGAGCTGAAAACCAGATAAGCCAAACCTGAAGGAGAAATAAAAATACATTTTTATCACTGAGCTTTTGCTCACGTAAGGTCTGCAGCTAAGAGTGAAGGAAAAGACAGAGAACACTACCTCTACCACATAAAGCAAGCAACATACTGGATTTTCATTGCTATATCACCTCTATTTCTGTACACAGGATAAAAACACAAGCACAAAATTAGGTCATGGAACAGTGCCCAATGGCATGAGCTTACCAACTCAGTAGTCAAAGACCTTAACGCATTCTGAGAATTTAAAGATGAAAACAATAATAGTAGTTGAATTAAGTACTTTCCAAAACAATATATGCACACAGTAGCAAGCAGGGTGAGAAACCTGGGGAATCTACCTCCACCCTCAGGGAAATTCCTCAGGAAGCGAACTGCCAGCACGCTGGCTCCCTCACGGCATCCAGCCCAACAGTTTGGGGCCTGAGCAGCCCGTTTCCCACATTATTTGGGACTTCCTCTCGGAAGCGGAAATGCACATTCTCCTCTGAGTGCAAGAGTATTCTCATCTCAAGGAGGCCATTCTAAAAACACATCATTAGGAGGAGATAGCTCCCAACTCCTAAATTTAACGTGTAGGG